ATGAGATCCTTTATGTGAGCTTGCTGCTACTTGTCCAGAGCTGTGTCGACTGTATGTGTATTTTGGTTTGTGTGTGTGGTGGTTTCAGAAGAGTGGGTGGGGGCTAATAGGCTGTGGTTAGAGTCTCAGAGAGGCCAAATATATATTGTATCTGTCAGCCATGTGGAAGTGATTTTAAAATATAATTTTGATGATGGTGGTGGTAACGATAATGCTGGCCAACATGTGTTTCAGGGCTCAGTGAGGTGCTTTAAATGTTTTAGCAGTTCAGTTCCCTGTATCAGACAGTTATTGACTAATTACAGCTGTTTTAAGCTCCAAACACTAAAACCACATTAAATAAATACGACACCTTGAGGAAATCCCACATGTTGCTTCATCAACAACCGTTCAAAAACCCTGTTTCAGTATCTTTGTTGCATCATTTTGCAGTCATGTCGCTTTATTGTAAAAACACAAAAATGTGCTTAGATTCTAAAACTGTTAGGTCATCGAGAGTCCCCACCTTCAAGAGTTGCTGGCAGGCATGCTGTGTGTGTTTGCGGAGGCACTGCGGTCTTTCTTTCACAGTGTGAAGGCCTGGTCAGAGTGTGTGGGAGCCAAGATCTAAAGAGAAGAGGTCCGTGCCCCTGACCTGACCCTGAATATTTCCTAATGTGCAGCTTTGCCAAAGGTCCCCCTTTCCCCTGAGTGGCTTTGACAAGCTGCTTCCGTAGTAATGGCTCTTAATTTCTGAGTAATTGCTATCTCTAAGTGATGAGGGACAACCCCTCACCCAAGCTAAAAAAAATCTTAACATGTGGAAGACCACAGGTTGTGGGGGTCCTTTTTCTTCTTTTCCAGAAAGGCTGAGACCCCCGCTGTTCCTTTGGCCCGGGAGAGATTTGTGTCGAGTGTGAGGCCCTAACCTGAGGAGACAGAGTGCAACGAGTCATGTGCTTGTCTCGGGATGAGTGTTTGTGCTGGGCAGGAGGGGGGAACATGGGGGAAGTAGGGGGCTGCAGGGTCAGAGGAAAGGGAGTGGGGGCACTCGCTGCAGGTGAGGGGGATTAGCTGCAGCTAGAGGCCCAAAGAAACTAAATACAGATCTGTCAACCTAATCCTCACAAATAGAAAACAGAGCTGCCCTCCCTTCACAATCCACATAGTTCAGCACATCCACCTCCTGCTCCTCTGTTTCTCATCAGCTTTTGGCCTGGGCCAGTCTGGCTATGCAGCCTCGTCTCTAATGGCTCCTCAGACTAGCATCCCCTAAAGAGGAGCTGACTGATCACCCAGGGTCCTCTCTGATTGACAGACCTACACAGCCTTACAGAGTGATGAGAGCAAGAGTCAAAGGGGCAAGGTCTCCCACTGCAGAGACAACAATCTAAATGGGACCTCTGTCTAGAGCTGCATGGAACTGGGTAGACCTTTATCAGGCCCTCACACCTCAGTAATGGATGCTGATAAGTATGTGGCCGGGTGAAGAGACCAGCTCAGTGTCAAGCTAGGTCTTTATGCTGATGACACAAGTGACAGTGTGCCTGAGTGATAACATCCTGCGATGGATAAGCTTGACTAAGCCAGGAATTATCGAAAGCTTAACTAAAACGGTATCTCTGACTGTCAGTGACACCAGCTATAACTGATGGGTCTGGCTGGGCTGCTGAGAGCTATGAATCAGGCCCAAGCTACTCTGGTGTTCCAGAGTGCCATGCCCGGGTGCAGACAGACGCGAGAGTGACAGGACATACCGGATACAGGTGAAAGTAGGTACTGAGTGATTGCAAGGAGGATTGCAAGGTGCAGTGTTTCAAATAAGATAATCATGTATTCCTCAGTAGAAAATCTCTGCATGTCATTTGGACATGTGGTGCTGCCATGAAACTCAACTTCTTATAGTAGTGCCAAACTAATGATGTAGAAATTGATAATGTATTGAGCATGAAAACATTTTTATTTTCTTAGATAGGTTTTTACATCTGGCTAAACTTTAGTTTCGGCTCTAAAAAATGAAGTGATGTGTAACTTGAAAAAGTGCAAAACTAAGTAGATTTGACAAGGTATTCCAAAACCACTTGGATTCAATAATTCAATACTGGATCCAGATTTTTAAAAATACTATCAAACCCAAAATCTAAATGGAATATACAAAGTATTTTGAAGCTGTTTCATATACCCACCCCCTCTCTTTCTTCTGCCTGTCTCACAGCTGTGTCTCATATGTTCATGAGGCCCCTGGAAGTGTGAGACACCAGAAGGGGAACATTTGCAATAGCTCAACTCCACCTGGTTAGGCTGTTTTAACAGGCCGCTGGTTTGTGCAGCGCACACAGTGGGGTTACGCCAAAAACGTGGACAAGGGCGGACAGGACGGGCAGATGGGGAGGGGGGAGAGGAAAAAATGTGCCTCCACCCTCCCCTGTCCTTGCTCCGCGACCCCACACTGCTTCATTTGAGGGTCATTTTACCCTGAAAAAGGTTTTACTGTATGGTCTGTGGGTCTGCTTGGTCAGACCCCCCTCCGCCGAACCTCATCCGCCTCCCTGCATACACAGGCCTTCAAAGGACTGCTGCCTGCTGCTCTCTGAGGCAACACATGAAATAAATATTAATCTGACCTCTGACCTGCTTTGAGCTCCTAAATAGAGATAACCTGGCAAATGGAAAAAACACCAACTCTTCAATCAGAGATAAAAAGGAAGAGACAAAGAGAAAAATATTATGTGGAGATGAAAATGATTTTTTTGTGTTGTGGGAGTGTGAAAGAGTTTCCAGGGATGTTTCACTGCACCGCTGTGTGGTCTTCTTTGGAGCTTAGTGTCATGCTGCAACCTGTGCTGAGTGTGGAGGTGTGTATTTGTGCAGGGTGTCTTAGATCATAGAGGGAAGAGTGTTTGCACTGAAAATGCTCCTTGCCAAATGCTGAATTTGAGCTACTGTTAATACAATTTAAATACTGCAGAAACAGAGAACAGGAAGAAGTCAGTAAACATAAATATGATATGTAAAGATCTTGCCTTTGTAAGCCTTAATAGTATAACCCTATTATATCATCACAGTAATGGTTATACAGCCGTCTCACTCACCACATTTCTGCCCTTGAATGATTTACTCAGGTATACTGGCCGTGCTAGCAAAAGTGTGTTTACTCTCTTCAATGGCCAGGCAGGCATTATTAGTGTATCTTTCATTTTACTTAAAAGTAATGCAGTGCAGGTCTTGACCGTGTGTATCATGGTTACCAGTATGTAAGATGGTTTGTGTATCTTAGAGAAGATATTGAGTTTAGTATGAAATACTTATACTAATACTTGAGATACTTTTCCGCATGTGTCATCGACGGAAAGTTCAAACACTATTTGTTCTGCTTTTCTGCTTTAGTTTTCCTCGTCAAAGGCCCCTCAGTGCAGCTCACCCAGCCTGGCAGCCTGTGCCCACTGTTTACTGTGACTGTCATCAGGCCCATGGAGGCCCAAACAAAGGGGGGTCTGTTCCTATTGTCCTGCCCAGGATTGTCAGCCCCTCTCTGGGCACAAACTGAGCCAAGGGCTGGGGGTTGTTGGAGGAGCACCGGGGGGTTTGACCTCACCAACCTTACAGCAAGGGTAAGAGCGCAAGAGAGTGAGTGCAAGACAATGAGAGAGAGGGAAAAGAAAGTGAGAGAGAGAAAGAGAGGAAGATGTATAGTTCTAACTGAAACCAAGACCCTTTCAAGTCCCCTGTTGGAAACTGCTGTAATGTAAACACCTGCAGCCATTAGCTGATTCTATCTGAGGCACCGGATAGAAATGTTTATATGTTACAGGCTACTACTGAAAGGCCATTTAAAAGCAAATAGAGGATTAGATATACAGAATGAGTAGTGGCAGGCTATGTAAGCTTTCAGGCTTTAAGCAATGTTGAATTGTCATTGGAAAAAGAGGAGTGGAACGCCTTTGAAGACTAGAACAACCACATTAAATGGGCAGGAAGGTGAGCTAAGTGTAGAAGACCCCAAGACACGCTCTGCCTCCTTTCCTCTCTTCCTCTGTTTGCAATCATAGCTTAAGCCGTCTGGCAGCCTCTCTTGCTGTGCCATTGAAGTCTAATTTTATTGTCATAAAAATCACCTGGCAAGCTGTAGCCCTAAAACATCTCAACTGCAGAGCCTTTAAAACTCCACTCTCTGTGTAGTGAAAAGGTTTTAGGAGGTTTGCCTAGATAAAGTGCTCGTTCCCGGTGCAAGGGCCATCTGAAATACCTCCGTCTGTGTCAGTGAGAGCAGAGCGCTCAAGAGGGTCAGAAGCGTTCCATTAAAGTGTGGTGTTTAAGAGGTGCTGGGGCCAGGGGGGCAGATGGAGGGACGAAGCAGCTGCCAAACATCTGCACCCCTCCTTTCGCAGTCTGTGCTCTGTCTGTGTGCCGCCGCCTTTGTCACAAACTTCCTGCTCCAGCAGTGAGGATAGAAAGCTTGGATATCTTCAAAAATGCAGCATGAAATGGCAGTTGTGAGGCCGTAATAGTGCCTCTTTGACATCAAAAGACAACTGACTTTTAAGTCTCACAACCATGTGAACCCAGGTATTCAGAGAGTGCACCTGCAGATCACTGAGAAACTATTATAGTGGCAGCATTACAACTGCGTGTTCCAACCTCTCCCACAGTATTGAAGTATTCACCCACACAGGCATATAATTGCTCTCTGATATGAAGTCTGTTATTTTCCCACAAACGGACTAACACTGAAAGGCCTATTGTCACTGCCTGCACATCTGTCATTATTGAATCCACACAAGCAAAGAGGCACTAGGAATTGTGGGAAAGGAATGACGAAATGTGCTTTATCATAAACTAAGGCATCATGATAGAAATCCCGTCCTAATCCGTTTTGTATTTGGACATGTAGCCTCAAGCCCTTCTTCTCCAGCTGGTAACAAAGGCCAACTTCGCTCTATCTCCATTAGAAAACCACAACATACTCTCTCTCTCTTCACCCCCCACCCCTCTCTCTCCTGCTCCTCCCAGCACACAGCGCCTCCTCAGAACTTGTTCGTGTCTGCTCGCAGCCTCCACTCTGCAGTTACAGGCTGCACTACAGTTGGTAGCTGTTGGCCACAGGTTGTGGATGAGGACGGAGGTCCGCGCGAACACAATCTGCCCAGGAAACCAATCAATAAAAGGACTTTGAAGTTAAGTTGATGTTTCATTTGGGAGCTCTTCCCTCAACATGAGGGTGCGTACTTGACTTTGGATATTGAACACAGGCTGTCTTTTGCTAAAAGTTCAATATCCATTTTCCAGCGTTTCGGTGAGCAGAACTGGGCGCAATTACGCACGGCGACCATGGCACCGATTTTGGATAGACGTGCTCCCGCTTTGCTCTTGGTTTGGAGCTACTGTGTCTTGGCGGATACCGCCTTTACGAACTTTACTTTGGACAACGAGTTCCACTCCAGTTTCATCCACCGTCGGCTGAAGAGCCAGGAGCGCAGAGAGATGCAGCGTGAGATCCTGTCGATCCTGGGGCTGCCTCACCGGCCGCGACCCCACCTCCACGGAAAGCACAACGCTGCCCCGATGTTTATGTTGGACTTGTACAACGCCATGTCCACAGAGGGGGACGAGGACAGATACTCCTACCCCTACAAGCCCGTCTTCACCACCCAGGGGCCCCCAATAGCCAGCTTGCAAGACAACAACTTCTTGAACGATGCAGACATGGTCATGAGCTTTGTCAATTTAGGTAGGCTCCTTACTCTCTCATTTGTATGATTAAAAACTATTGGAAATACACTTTTAATAGAGTTTAATAAAGGAGAACAAACATGATGGCAAAGATGAAGGCCACTATAGTCACTATTGTGTACCACTATACTCAATTCAGCCAGTCTTTATTCTTTCAAGGTAAATATTTTAATAATCATATTTTACTAATAACAATTAGCATACAGTATAATTAAGTGATTAGCTTAAAAGACACTGAGACTGAGAGGTCTCTAAAACAGACATGAACAGAGATAAACGACACACACACTGTTTCACATCAAGTTTCTGTAGCTGTTGTCAAGTGGTCATCTTTAGGCCTGTATATAGTATAATTTACTGTCAGGGATAATTATTTACTGTAAGTATTGCCCTCCACTTGTTGCATCTAATTGCTGTTTCTTTAGGCTGCACCATGAGTATTTCAGTCAAAGGATATCTATGAGTCAAAGGTGATAGTAGATTCACCGTGGTGACAATTTATCTTGTTACTTCACCTTATTGAGCAGGACATGTATTTTTCAGCACAATTACCATGTTTACATAGACCTAGGTGCTGTTTTCCAGCTAATACCAGGATTGTCACATTCCAGTGTCCCTCTCTGTTAAACAGCTGTGCTGCAACCGGCTAATGTTCAGGTGCTTGAGCTGAGGATGATGGACCAACCAGGAGCTAATATGTCAACCATGTGTTATCTAAAGAATGAGTAAGTCAACAGCAGACTGGGTTCAAAGTGCAGTCGTTGTCCCTTCAGTCTAATCTGAAGACATCCCTATAAACACTCAGAAAACAAAATAATGCAAATCAATGATGATTCAGACTTAGTTTTGTTGGTTCATTTGGTCACACAATAAGTCATGCACTCCAGTAGAAAAGTTTTATATAGTTGTTGGTTGTTAAATTCTGTTCCTTGGACCACTGTGCTTATCTAATCAGAATGTTTACTGAAATAAAAACTTCTTTGACTATTATATTGCTGTCAGCAACAGGTTGTTAAGTGCAAATAATAACATAACATTAGCAGGCGGTGTCAGATTTATGGATAGATAAACACAACATTATAATTCAATTTGCTCAACAGCAACTGCCCCACTTGTGCTCCAGATGAGTAACTGTGTATTATTTTAGTGTACTAACCTTTTATCACAATTTGGCTCCAGACAGACAAAATAGTAAATGAGATTCTGAGCTGGCAATGTTTTCAAGCCACCAGAATTTTAGAGAAATTGTGCAAGGAGTTGGAAGTTTACGTTCAATCCTGGAAAGATCATTGTTGGAGCGTCTTGGCAAGAGAGAGGGAGGTGACACTGGTTCCTCCGCTGCACTGTGTAATTACTGTGGGAGCTGCTGCATTGTGACTATTTTTGACAGGCTGTGACACAGATGGATTTGACCACAGAGACTCGCAAGTCAAGGGCCTTGCAAAGTGAAGGGCCGAGGCTGCAGAAAGCTGACGAGAAAGAAGGGAGCTTCTGAGAAAGAGAAAGAAAGACGACAGATCGGTTGGGACTTGGTCCATTTCTTTTGCAAGGATGATGCTTACAGCAGACAGAAAACCTAAACAAAGATGGGTCAGCTGGAGAGAACATTTTTATTTAATATATTAGAGGATCATGGAAAGAAAGTCACACTGCCTTACTGAAGTCTTGTGGCTAATGTAATTACTGATGGCATTTGCCCAGGTTGAGTCTTCCTCATGGCACATGATCAGTGTTTCCATATATGTTACTCATTTGGATATAAAGTGGGTATTTGTCATTGCATTCTGCCACGTGTTGCATCTATCAGTAGGGTTCATTGTTAGGTTTCTTCCTGAGTCTCATGTAATAACATCAAATATGTATTCAGGCGGCTTGATTCAAAACAGCAGATTATTATCATTACCCTTCACATGAGAGAGAGAGAAGGGCACAGAGAAGTAAGTGATGGCTATCAAATGGATTGACTATTTCCTCTCCAAATTCCTTCCTTTCCACATTTGCTCATTGTGGGTTTGTTTTCTTATTTAGGTTGTCTGAGAGCAAAATGAGTGTGGCTTTTATTTAAAAACTGTCCCTCAAAACTCTGCATGTCTCCATAACTGCCGTGCCAAGGTACATTAGTCAGACTCTGTATACTGGTTACTGCTTCCTGAGAGGCCTGTTTTCATGCACTGGTTTGTATTTTTATTTAAGGCTAAACACTATGACAAGGATGTATCTGATTTTACTACAGTATGGATGCACCATAGAGCTACTGTGGTAGAATATAAACTACCCATCTGTTCAGAGCACATCTCAGTGCAGTAAGCCACTAATATTAATATAAAAGAATACTAGCTTCCTCTCTCTTCCTGATTGCCACTCAAGGGAGCTGATACGCTTTTTTGCCAGCTAGGGTGGGTGTAGGTTTGGGACAGACCCCAGGCCAGGGACGTCCTCTCACTGAGTCACTTTAGTTGTAAAAGCCCAGCTGTGTAAATGGCTTACAGCATACATTCAGAATGCACACTGTTACATGAAACACAGGTCACCCAGGCACTGGGTGTGTGCCGGACATGCCATGATAACACGCCAGCTAGTTAACACACACATTCCCCCTCTTCCAAGGTGGCAACAGAAAAGAATACAAAAAAGTACAAAAAGAAATGAAAAATGCATTGCCAATGTTTCATTTCATTATTTTGTAGTAATTATTTAATGTAGTTGGTCTCTGGCAGCATTAGCCCTCAGCCACCGTGAATTAAGGCATTTCCTCCTTAACAAACCACAGCTTCCAGGGCTTTTGGCCACTATTTTGGCCTGTGCTGAGATACAGTTCAGTTCAGTTCATGTTAAACTCTCTCACAGGCCAGTCATACTCAGCCATCCAGGCACATGCACAAACATTCATAATGCCCAAACTTAAATGCTCATTTACACCTCCCAAACCACAGGAAAGGGCTCTGACTTGGACGTCTGCTATTTGCATCCTGGATGACTGAAACAGTAGCAAGCTCATTACCTGTGTTTGTGTGGGAGGGAGGTTAACGTCTTTTACTGTAAAATGTTATCATGAGGTGCGTTAGTCACATCTTCCTTATTTACTTTCATGGAGTCCTGCATTGATTCACCTTAGGTGGGTGTAAAGAAATGAGGCAGCTCTATAATCCATGTTTGTGTGTGAGTGTCTGTGTGTGTGTGGTGTGTGTGTGTGTATGTTCATACTGTAATAATATGGTCTTATCATGTTATTGTTCTCTCTGTATAATTAAGTTAAAGGAAAAGACTAAAATTGAGATTTTTGTTGCCAAAAAAAGTCTACAGAATATAATAATTCATATATGTGATGTTCTGTAGAAATAGTTGTTCTTTGTATGTGTAGATTCTGTAGCTTTTTCAGTAACTAAACCCTGGTTGAATGGGCCCTGCCTGTGTAACAGTGATGCTGTAAGTCGGCCTCTGTCTGTACACTCAGAGGAGGTGCTGTTGTCAAGTAAAAGCATCTTAAAAACATGAAGCCATTTGATATTTGTTCACTTTTTAAGATGCTTTAGCTTTTTGAAATGCGCTACCAGGGTGTATTTAATTGCTCAGTGTTCTGCTGCTGTTAATCTGCACCAGATGTGATACATTTCACTAAACAGAGTTGAAAAGCAGTAAACAAACTAAGCTCCCCTGCTTTCTTTCTCTCATTGTAGCAATATGCAACATTTGGATAGTCATTATCTCACCCAGTTCAATTCGCGGCGTTGTACCTGGTGACCAATTTTAGTACTATTGTGTCATGACGAAACTTTGCCTATATTTGACTAGTAAGTTGAGGCTGTGATCAGAGAGGGGAAGAGGTATCATAAAGACTTGGCAGAGTGAGTCAGCGCAATAGCAGGTAATTATCCTCTGCGTTACCTTGGTGACCTGACGGGGCACCACCTGGCCTTCCACCATTCACAGCCCTATGTCTACTCCCATAGGAGCTGCCACACAGTTGTCTGCCAGTTCTCTCTCGCTTTATAGAACGTGTTAATAGGAAGGTATAATAAAGAGCAGGAAGGGGAAGAAATGTCTAACTGGTAAATTAGTTTGGATTTATTAGAGGCTTTGGCTTTCAGACAGCATTGTGTCACCAGCTCACACAGTCCCGGCTGCGTGCTCAGAAGCAGTTGTGTCACTCCACAGTCACGCTACAGGCACGCAGCTGTAGATTTATAGCTGATAGCAGTGAAGCGGAAAGGTCCACATTAGTAATTTCAAATAAATAGTTCCAATATCCCCCATTTAAAAAAAATATACTCATATCATCCGTTCATTCTCTCCCCACCCTTCCTTCTATTGCTCCTTACATTCCTCTCCACAGTGGGCTGCCCATGGTGCTGAGGTTAATACAGATGTTTCTCTCTGTCTGCAGGCCAAAGCAGCTGCGGAGAGAAACTTTATCTTTTCAGAGTCCAACAAGTCCCCTCATCTCGACCTCCAACATCATGTCTGGCCCTGTCTCCAATCGGTCCCACACGCAAGACCATCTGATACCAAATTTTCCCTCCCTGCTCTGCTGAACCAACAGTATTGATTATCAGCACTGGCCTCCTAGTTTTAATTAGTTAGTTATCATACGGTCCCAGCGGTGTTGTGTGGTGTTTAGTCTCCAACCTCCTGCTCTGGCCCTCACCTCCAGGGGTTTAAACCTCCCGTGCTTCCAGACATAAAACATTTCAACACTTTCTCAAGTTCTTTTGTGTGTTTTTCCACTCCCCACCTCTCTCTCTCACATACATACACACAGACACACACATACACATATTTTCTCTGAACCCAAACGCAGCTTTCCCTTTCTTTCTACTTTATCTCTCACGCCTCTCTATCATAAACACACACACACACACTTGTACTTTTTGTCCATCGTTGAGTTGTGACAGATTTTTCTGTCTCAGTTTCTCCATGTCACAATGAAGGCTACTTCTCCAAATGTGTTTGAGGAGGTTTCTTGTCACATGAGGACCAGAAAATTAAAACACAAGTATG